ACTTTAGCATTCTAGTCCCCTAGAATGAGAAGAACATCTTTCTTTGGTGTCAGTTCTAGAAGGTGTTGTAAGTTTTCACATAATTGGTCGATTTCAGCCTCTTTAGCATTGGTGGTTGGTGCATAAACTTGGATGACTGTGATGTTGAAAGGTCTGCCTTGGATTCGTATTGAAATCATTCTATCATTTTTGAGATTGTCTCCCAGTACAGCTTTTCCCACTCTTTTGTTGAATCCCACTCATTTCTTCTATGGGATTCTTGCCCAAAATAGTAGATATGATAGTTGTCTGAATTGAATTCATCCATCTCCTCTTTGACCACATCCAGCTTCCCAAGGTTCATAGATCTTACATTCCAGGTTCCTATGCAGTATTTTTCTTTGCAGCATTGGACTTTCCTTTCACTTCCGGGCACGTCCACAGTTGAACGTCCTTTCAGCTTTGGCCCAGTCACTTCATTAGTTCTGGAGCTACTTGTACTTGTCCTTCACTCTTCCTCAGTAGCATGTTGGACGCCTTCCGACCTGAGGGGCTCATCTTCCAGCGTCATATCTTTTATCCTTTTGTTTCTGTTCATGGGGTTTTCTTGGCAAAGATACTGGAGTGGCTTGCCAGTTCCTGTTCCAGGTGGATTGCGTTTAGTGAGAACTCTCCACTATGACCTGTCCATCTTGGGAGCTCCTGCACAGCATAGTCCATAGCTTCTCTGAATTACTCAAGCCCCTTCACCATGACAAGGCAGCAATCCGTGAAGGGGGGTTTAGCTAGTCAAATTAAGCAATTTCTTTGTTCTGGGTAATGCATGTGCCCTTTGCCAGGCAAGGCACAGTCTGAGCACTCTGCCGTTTCATCAGGAACTAATTGTCTTCTTACAATGGCTTCCAACCTTCCTGCTTTCCAGCCTGCTAGTTTAGTTGAAACTGTGTTCAGCCTGCTGTTGGACTCTTTCCCAGCATCTTGAATAAATGAGCTGCATAGCCAATATCAGCGTGGAGACTGAATTCAGACAGTTAGGACTGACCACATAGTACAAACCTTTTTAATTTTAGATGGACTGTATAATGCTTCTCCTAAACGTGTGTGTGTGTGTGTAAACCAAAATGTACTGCCTTATCTTGATTTAAATACTTGCTTTCTGCCAGATGACTTCATGTTGTTGCTATGTGCATCCTTACAAAGGCAGACCTTTGAAGATGAGAACAAGGCTGCTGTGCGTATTATGGCTGGAGACAATGTAGAGATCTGCATGAACCTTGATGCAGCATCATTTAGCCAACACAATCCTGTCCCTGACTTTATCCACTGTCGGTAAGGGCCTTTAATATATAGATTTATATATCTTTCTATTAGCTTAGGGTGTGATCAGATGGGGAACTGCTGGATAGCTCACTAATTTGAGGCATCTGGTTGTGGAAACATAGGTTGGGAGTTTGATTCCCCACTGGCATGTGCCTCCTTGACAGGGACTGGACTTCATGATCCATAGGGTCCCTGACAGCTCTGCTGTTCTAAAATTATTATTTGTCCCCCAGCTCAGTCACTCTGGGGATAGGTTGGTTTGCTTCTTTTTCTGGCAACCACAGGCCAGACAGGCCACTTCAAACTAGCCTATCCCTAATCCCCGCCTACCCATACCTTTTTGGATCCCTGTATGTGGCTACTGTTTTTGTTTTGATTTGTTGTTCGGTATAGGTATGATTGCTCCATTTTGGTTTGGTTCTAGCATGTGCAATAGCTAGGGCTGAACCAAAGCGGATGTCTTAGGAAGTTAAAAACTTCCTTCTACTCCACTGTTGAGCAGGAGAAAGAAGAAGGGTGGTTTTTGGTGTGTGTTTTTTAACCCTTCTAAAACAGCACAGATGTAATATTCCACTTGGGTTCGGGATGAAAGCTTCCTCTCTCTCCCCCTTCCCCTTTCAATTTCCCAAGATCGTGAAGGAGCTCAAGCAAAGCATGGAGAAGAAGATTGGAGGGATTCGTTGTTGTTGTTTTTCTTTCCTTTTTGTTTTTTTTTTTAATCTTTCCCTTCAAAGAGAAGGAAGGGCCAGATAGGTTGCTTGGGGTGTGGTGTAGTCACTTCTTGCATGTGGATGTAAAGATAATCCCAAATGAATACAGTGGTGCTTCGCATTATGACGTTAATTCGTTCCAGCAAAATCGCTGTAGAACGAAAATGTCGTAATGCTAAAATAAAAAACCCATTGAAATGCATTGAAACCCCTTCAGTGCGTTCCAGTGGGCTGGAAACTTACCATCCAGCGAAGATCCTCCATAAGGTGGCCATTTTTGGTGGCTGTCTTGCGAGGAATCCATCCCTAAACACAGCGGTGAGCCATTTTATTTACCCGGCAGTGAGCCATTTTGAAACCGCCGATCAGCTGGAGGAAAATTGTCATTTTGCGAAGAATCGGTTCCCGAAGCAGGGAACCGATCATCACAAAGCGGAAAAAAACACATTCAGACTATCGTTTTGCGGTTGCAATTGCAATCGCAAAAAGATCGTCATAATGCGGTTTCATCGTAATGCGGGGCAATCGTAAAGTGAGGCACCACTTTATTACAGTTTAAAGTGACTTGATTGGCATGATCCAGGCCAGGATAATTGAGCCATCTGGTCACACTCTTAATTTACTTGGGCCACCAATTCCCAACTCAGAGAGCCTCCCCAGGAGGATACCGTGGTCGACGGTATCAAAGGCCGCTGAGATGTCGAGGAGGACCAACAGAGATGTTTTACCCCTGTCAGACTCCCTCAACAGGTCATCATACAGGGCGACCAATGCCGTCTCTGTACTGTGGCACGGCCTGAAGCCCGACTGAAATGGATCCAGGTCATCTGTTTCCTCCAAGAGAGCCTGAATCTGGTCAGCCACCACCCTCTCCACCACTTTGCTCATGAAAGAAACATTGGCGATGGGCTTGTAATTGCCAATTTCGTCCGCCACCAAGTTCGGTTTCTTTCTTATGGGCCTAATGAGTGTCTCCTTGAGGGCAGAGGGAAACCTGCCCTCAAGGAAAGATGCATTTATTATTACAGTGGCCCATTTTGTTGTTTTAGGCCTGGCTGCTTTGATTAGCCAGGCCAGGCAAGGGTCCAAGGAGGAGGTGGTGGCACGGCAGTGATCAATCACCCTGGCCACAGAGTCAGGCGTGACAGGCTGAAAAGAGTCAAGTGTCACCTGGCAGGACGGAGCGCTGGACATCTCAGCTCGACTCACTATTCAAAAAAGGAGAGAAGTCGAAATTGTATATCCATGTCAAAGAGAACAATGCCATGCATTGTTATACTAGGTTAAGAATTTGGCTTGTACTGTCACTGACAATCTTGTGTATGTGCAATATATTATAAGGAGAGTGGGTTTAACTCCATATATTACTTGATGCTGAAATTAGAGTTACAGAAACAGACCACATAATGTTTCATCTTGAAAGAGAAGTGAACCTGTTACAAAAATCGGCCAAACTTTTTGTTGTTTCTGTAGAACAAACTGCCTAATATAAATGTACCGTATTTGTTTTGCAGTTTTTTAGAATGCAGGCCAGCAACTTAATTGTTTTAGAATGTAAGCCTGTAGGCTAGTATTGTCTATGTTTTTATTTTATTGATTGATAAATACTGTTATATTTATGAAACCGGAGAAAATCCAAACGTCAGCATTCTGGAAGTAGGGCCTCCTGATGGGTCAGTTTTTCAATGAACTACACTTTGCCTTTAGGAAATTTTATAATACATATAGAATCACAGAACTGTAGAGCTGGAAGGCATCCCAGTGCTCTCCCAGTTGTGCAAATGCTACAGCTAAAGCATTCTTGACATAAAGCCATTCAATGTCTCCTTAAAATCCTCCTGCAAAGAACAGCCCACTGCCTTTGTGAGACAGTCTATTTCACTCATACTTAGCAGGGAACTAGTCTTAATATGTGATATGAGACTGCATACTTAAAAAAACAGTAGGCTACATATTGAATACAGTGACAATTCCTTTATGAATTCATCAGTTTTGACTCATTTGTTGAGAAGTCACCTAATGGAAACAGCTAAGTTATCCATAGAAAATTTCAGAAGACAAGAACTTTGATCCTATGTTGTCCTTGCATCAGTGGAAGGGTCTTTGTGTTTACAGGGGGAATGCTGATTCAGCAGAAATTCCCCCTGAAAAAAAGGGGATAGGATTTTTTTTTTTGTCACTCTGTGAAGTCCTGGTCACCATCCTGTACACTGTTCTGGATGGTCCTTCCAGCCCTGCTTTCTCCAGTGGGAGTGTCTTTTGGGTAGAGTTCTCTTTTTAGAAGTTGTGATCCAAGTAAAAGATCTGGGTAACTCTCAGTTTACCAACACAGTATGATGCATATTTTTTTCATTCAATTGCATAGTACTTTTGTTAATCTGAATTATTTTCTGAATAGTTGTCAAGGAATTTTATGATGCACACTAAAATAAATGAATTCAACAGAGGTTTAACGTCTTTCATTCTTATTTTCTCTTATTACAGATCTTACCTAGATATGGGCAAAGTGATAATGTTTAGTTACCTCTTTTGGTTTGTGCTTACCATCATCTTTATAACGGGAACAACTCGGATCAGTATATTTTGCATGGGCTACTTAGTAGCATGCTTCTACTTCCTGCTCTTTGGAGGAGACCTGTTGCTCAAGCCTATCAGAAGCATTCTTCGCTATTGGGACTGGCTGATAGCTTATAATGTCTTTGTGATTACAATGAAAAATATATTGTCAGTAAGTGCCTTGTGTGTACATTTGGATTCTGTGTTGTTAGTTAGCAATGGTTACAGGAAAAATGTAAAAAGATTGTGGAAAGATAATGAAAGTCATATATATACTTTCTTATTTCAGCTACAGCTGTGCAACTTTGTGTTTTTCAATTACAGCTCCCAGAATTCTGTCTGAGAATTTCTAGGGGATGTAAGACGAAAATATCAATCTGTAAAATACTAATGGCTGTTCCCTTTGTTAGCTTGTTTCTTTCCCACTTTCCAAAAACTTGGAACAAATAACTTATGATTTGACACCCAACTTTTGATGCCAGACCCATATCATGTGACACACGGGGGGGGGGGAAGCTGCAGAAAAGTGCAGAAAATATTGTTTTTCCCATTAATCATAGTTCCCTGAGCACCAACATCATCTGTTTATCTGGTAGTTTAGGTACCAGAGCCAGAGGCTGGGAGTTCGATTACCCACTGAGTCTCTTGGGCAAAGAGGCAGCCTGTGTGGCCTTGAGCAACCTGCACAGTTCCAGGGTGCCCCCAAAAAGAAAGGGATGGTAACCCATTTCTGAGTATTCCCTACCTCGAAACCCTTGAAAAGAGTTGTCGTAAGTTAGAATTGACTTGATGGCACATGATAATTACTATACAAGAGCTCTGTTTAGCAGCGCTCTTGGTGAAGAGTAGATGATTTATTGCAAGTCATGGCATGCCGCCACTTGTTCTCGGATATTTACCACACAAAATGGAAGTGCATTGTATGTACTCCATATGTAGTACTAACTACACATGGAGTGGTGGGAGACAGTCTTAGACAAGGTTACCTTTGGGGTTTTTATTTTTTAAACCACCTTATTTTATAAGTTTTATATCCAATATAAGAAGAGGTGGGGTGCTTTTCTGGATAACCATGTTAAAACAGTTGCAGCATAATTAATTGCATTGTGTCTACATGTCTCGAGGGAAACGAGGAATACAGAGAAATGTTCTTACAGTTTGTTTCCTTACATTTTACATAAGGAAGTAGTACTTAGCAATACTGTTGCCATTTTAACTGTAATAGTTAACATATCAGTCTCTGTTTCTTCCAGATAGGAGCATGTGGTTACATCGCGTCATTAATTAAGAACAGTTGTTGGGTGATACAGATATTTAGTCTGGCCTGTACAGTGAAGGGTTATGCAATTCGTAAGTACAGACTTGTATGTTCCTTTGCTTTATTTTCCATAAAAGGCCATTAAATGCCCTTTGTTTGCATAATAGACATTTGTTTGCCCTTTGCTTCTTTGATATTGAGAAATAAATTCAACTTGTTATGTTATGTAAATTGAAATGGATAGAATTCAGTGGGTTGTTGTTTTTTAAAGTATCTGAAAACAATAGTAAATAAAAAAATCCAGGAAAGGTTGCTGAGTTATAGTGTATATTATAATAATAATTCTCTTCTCTTGCAATAAGACAGTCTCACAGTCTCAAGCAGCATTTTTTTTTTTGCAATGCACATGAAGCAAAAAGCTTTATCTGATGCAATGTGCTGATATGATGTCTGCTAAGATAATTCCTAGATCATTTCTATCATCAATCTGTACTTACTATCCCTCTGGCCCATTGAAATTAAACAAAATAAATGTACATAATATGGTTATTGGTTTTAACATGCCTTTTGGCACAATATTTTTTTGCATGATACTCATTTTTTGAGAAAAGTACTGATAAATACAATACAATTTGTGCTTTTTCCAGAAATTCTTGACTGGTTGTTTGCTAGTGTCATAATTGTCATAGGAGGGCTCTTTGCAGTCAATTTGAAAAGTAAGAATATCCACAGACTGCTGAGTGGGGAAATGAGGGAAAGACGCTAAGGTCTGTGTTCGGATTAGCCTGCTGGCCAGTTTAATGATTAAATTGACTTAAAGAATGGTGGAAATTGTTAAAGAAAAGAGAGACCTTCCTATTGTCTTATCTTCAGCCCTCTGCTTCTCTGTGGCTTTTCCTGTTTATAAGAGATGAGTGTCTCCCCATATTTCCCCCCTTTGTGTTTTGGATGTGTAAGTCTTGGAAATAAGACAGAGTTCCTGAAGTTAGAAATATGAATCTTAACGGGATGGATTCATACTTTCTTAACAATTTTGCTCCTTTGGGCCATTTGAGTTGAAGCATTGTAGTATATAGAAACAATCATACTTACCCTATGGGATTTTGTTTACTTTTGCCAGCCTCTGATAAAGACAAAGACTGTAAATTACCTAGTGGGGAGGCAGGAATCATCTGGGACAGTATTTGCTTTGCCTTCCTGTTGCTGCAAAGAAGGGTCTTCATGAGCTACTACTTCCTCCACGTGGTTGCAGATATTAAAGCATCACAGATTCTGGCATCCAGGTAAATTCAAGTGTTTTCTGTGCAGCTTAAAATTGAGGTGTGTCCTCTCTCTCCTTCAACCCTTTTTTCCCCACAGTCATTTTATTCTGCCTTCCTGGATACAAATCCTTCCAAGGTGACTTACAAGTAACATCAAAAATATTACCAGCATCTTTGGAGACAAGTGCTGCTATAGAAAAACTCATTAGGAACCTTACTGCAAAATCATCCTGGGGCTAGTGGTATGGGATTTGCCTACAACAGGAGTAGGCACCTGCTGTTAGCCTTGTTTGTTTATCTCCCATGGTTCCTATGACAGGGACTGTGGTCGCAGAATTCCCCAGCAATAATTCTATTGGCTCCAGGTTGTTAATGAAACTGGTAACTGATTATTTTGGTGTCAGCTTTGACCCTACAGAATGACTGCAGTGGAAACTTGATGAGCTGAGTTTCTGCCATGAGCCCAACTGAGTGCTATCTTTTCAACCTGGATTCCAATTACATTCACTGGTGCCACTTGCCATTCTGGATCAAGGTGTTGGGAAGGGAGTTGTAGTCTAGGGGTTGGCTTTAGTCTTTTCAGGAGCAGTCAGTACAGATGAGTAAGGGGAACCAGGGGGGAGCTCCCGTGCTCCTCCTGAAGCCTCTGTTGCCTCTCGGAGTGTCATTTGTGCTGCCAGCAGTGCCATTGGGCTCGGCTGGGAACTGCTGGACTGGCTGGACGATGAGGGCACCAGTTGGAAACAGGCTGTGAAGCTCTCTCTGGCAAGGTAAAGATGGGAGCTCCTCTGCCTTCACATCAGCCCTTAGCCACCAGAACCTTCACAAGGACTCCTCTCCATGTGTCCTCCTCCAGATGATATGCCACCACTCTGGCAGCACAGAAAAGCAGGCCCTACTCTTCTACTGCTTTCCTCCAAGTTTCTTCCTTGCCTGAGGTCCCTTCACCAGCTGCAACTGTTCCAGAGGACATTGTCTGTTCCTCCTCCATTTTCCAGCCCACTTCTCTTTCCCTGCTTCCTCCTTTGCACCCTCAGGCAACTCCTCCCTCATCTTACCCAGGTGTTGCCCCAGCTGTACCTAACTTGTGGACTTCTCAGCAGACTCCTGTCTTCTCTCCTCTGTACTTTCCTGCCCTGGGTTGGTTGTCTGCCCTTGCCCTAGCCACCAAAGGGGTGCAGCCAGCCAGCCCAGGGCACTGATGGTGAACCCCTCACATTCTCCTAAAACCCTTCCCATTCTTATAAAACAGTCATTAGATTCTTCATGAACTGCAGAATGAGCATTCTGAGACTAAGATAGGGCACATTCAATATGGGAATGAATGCCAATATTATTTTTAGCACCACAAAATAGTTACATTTATCTTACAATAATGCTATGTAGCAGGATTTAAAAATATTGAATGCTACCCTGTTCTGTTAAGATCAGTGAACATTATGCCATTAACTGCAGTAAAATGTGTGTGGTGCTTCAACAAGCTTTTGTTCTACAATTATGTATATGTGTTTGTTTTTCTGCTTTATAGAGGTGCCGAACTTTTCCAGGCCACAATTGTGAAAGCTGTAAAAGCAAGAATTGAAGAAGAGAAAAAATCAATGGACCAATTGAAGAGACAGTATGTCTTTCTTACTTACTTCTTCTGGACATTTCACATGTATACAAGACATAGCTACTGATTCTGTAGTTCTGTATTGACCCCTTTGCAGATCAGTGTACAACATAACTTCACTAGATTTATACTGAATGTTATACTCAGGGCTTGAAAAATGCACTCGTTCACTTGTCTGTGATGAGTGAAAGATGCTGCTCGATGAGCCTGTCTCTCTCTCTCTAATCCTGCAGTCTCCCCTTCCCCCCATTGCAAAAAGAAAACTGCCATCTTCTCGGAGAAGAGAGTTCGAGCGGCACATAGAGATATAGCTCTGCAGGAAAATGTAGACTAGCCCCATGCTGGATAATATGGTGATTGTATTCTCAAAGGCTTTCACGGCCAGGATCTGATGGTTGTTGCAGGTTTTTTGGGCTCTTTGGCCATGTTATGAAGATTGTTCTTCCCGACGTTTCACCAGTCTCTGGCCGGCATCTTCAGAGGACTGGAGTAGAAACTCTGTCCATGCTCTGTTGCTGTTTTTTGGATAGTTGAGTATTTATAGCTGTGGGAACAGCTTTCATCCTTTTCAGGAGATAGGGTTATGATGGTGATCAGCGTGTTTTTGTTGTGGATGTATTGTTGTGATAAAGGGGAGAGATTAACTGTCACTGTGATTGATGGGTGTCTTTAGCTGGTCTTTTTGTGCAATGATCCCTGGTCCTTGTGGCTGGGTAGAGTTCTTTGACCTTTTCAGGCTGTATTTTTCAGTGCTGGGAGCCAGGCCTTGTTCAGTTTTAGACTTTCCTCTTTTTTGTTGAAGCTCTGCTGGTGTTTATGGATTTCAATGGTTTCCCTGTGCAGTCTAACACAATGATTGCTGGTGTTGTCCAGTACTTCAGTATTTTGAAGTAGAATCTCATGTCAAGCTTGTATTAGTGCATGTTCAGCTACTGCTGATTTTTCCGGTTGTTTTAGTCTGCAGTGTCTCTCATGTTCTTTGATTCTGGTGTGAATGCTGCATTTTGTGGTTTCAATATACTGTATACCTGTCCACAACTGCAAGGTATCCGGTATACTCCTGCAGTAGTGAGGGAGTCCCTTTTGTCCTTTGCTGACCGTAACATTTGTTGTATTTTTGTGGTGGATCTGAATACTGTTTGTAGGTTGTGTTTTTTCAGAAGTTTCCCCTTGCAGTCCATGACCCCTTTGATGTATGGCAGAAATACTTTATTTGTGGGTAGCTGTTTTTCCTCTTGTGTTTGGAGTTGTTTTCTTGGTTTGATGGCTCTTTTGATTTCATTCTTGGAATAGCCATTCTCCTGTAGGGCCCAATTCAGATGTTTAAGTTCAGTGCCGAGAAACTGAGCTTCATAGTTCCAATTTGCACGGTCTACCAGTGTTTTGATTATGCAGTGTTTTGTTGTGGGTGGTGATTTGAGTTTTTGTGTAGGTACCGGTCTGTGTGGGGGGGATTCTGTAGACCTTGTGTCCCAATAGGAGGTCAGTTTTACGTATGACCATGACACCTAAGAAAGGGAGTTGGCCCTCTATTTCTTTTTCCATGGTGAATTGTATATTTGGGTGGATGCTGTTAAGATGGTTTAGAAATTCTTCCAATTTTTCGTCACTGTGGTTCCAAATTGTGAAGGTGTCATCCACATATCAGAACCAGACTGTGGGTGTGAAGGGTGCCGAAGCCAGGGCCTGTTTTTCAATAGAAAGGCATTCAATATACAAGCTTCATGACCCTACAGGCACATAGGTAATAACGCAACTCAAGTCTGAGGGTATAAATCAGTGATTCCTGTGTACGTAATACAATTTATTTTGGGCTTGTATGCATTGTTACATAGAAATAAAAGTGAACAAATGCTTAGTTTAAATTTGTTAACATAAATTGCAAGGCTATAGTCCGGTCATGCTGACTGGTGAAATTTTTGACTGACTGGTGAGACATTCTAAAATGTTTAAAGCCCTAGCTGTACTATTGATATCTCTGCAGTATTCAAAGTCACTTGGTTTAGACTGATGTAACATTTCCCACTTGCTGAAACGATAGGCAGAGAGTAGTTTAAATTTCTGGTTAATAAACTAATGTACAGTATGTTAATATGTTAGTAAACTATTTGGGAAAGTCCACAAAAAAAAAAAGATCAGTGTGCAGGAAAACATATTTTCCAGAGACTCAGTCACAGCTTGCAAAATTACAGTTTGGCAAGGAGGAACATTTCATATGTTCTAGCTTACTGTGATGTGGAGAGAAATGTGGGCATCTGTAATATACTTCCTATGTATACATTAGTATGAAGCTTATCTATAAAATGGATAGTTTTTATGGAAATATAAAAAAATATTTGGGGTGGGAGAGTCCAGATTGAAATATTATATATATACTTTGTATCTGGAAAGATGATGAGGTATCTCTAATAGTGCAAAATATTCTTTGACAGAATGGATCGTATCAAAGCAAGACAACAAAAATATAAAAAGGGTAAAGAAAAAGTGATGAGCATGAGTCAAGAAGCTACCGATGGGCAGGCAATTCAAAAGGCAGCTGAAGATGATGATGACGATGGTATTATTCCTTCAATATATCCAGCATTGGTATTTATTGCTTGGACCTTGGTAATATTAACCTGAATGCATGTAAGGAAATAGTATAACCCATTTGGCCCTTTGCTGAAGAGATGTCACAGCCTCAGCCTAAACTTATGTGCTGGGTAGTTAACCCCACTGTGTTCAGTCAGATATGTTTCCAGATAAGTGTTCATAGGATTGTGGTCTTAGTGCACATATAGTCCTCATTGCATGTGGTTTTAAAAAAATACATATAGAGCTTTTGCAGTAGAGAAGCCTTTGAAAAAGAATATTTTTGAGGCAAATGTAACACTATATTGTGCAACATGTCTCTAACTGAAGCTTTCCCATTTTGTTTTTTCCATTCAGCTATATAATAATGCAAATTAGTTTGTGAAGAGAAAAAGGCGGTACTATTTCTGCATAAGGCTATGTAAATAACGAGTATTCCTATGAACATACTTAGATTTTAAATGAAATTCCATTTAGTTATATGTACCATGAATGGTTCATTATGTGTTCTAAATAACAATAAACAAATGTGTTTTTTGTGTTTTCTACCCTTAATATAGTAGGATTGAATCTTTTCTTGCAAAGTTTGAAGTGATTGGAAAGAACAAATATAAGCAGTAACATGTTTCTAACTTTGTAACATTAATTTTTAAACATATCTCATTTTAGGAGAAGCAGAAAAACAGAAAGCCAAGGGCAAAAAAAAGCAGTGGTGGCGTCCTTGGGTTGATCATGCTTCTAGTAGGTTTCTCATCTTTAAAATACATGAGTTTAACCCTTATATCCTTGATCAGAATTGAGGCATTCCCAATACCTGTTTGATTTTTATGCATGGTTTTATAATTGTGACTTGACAGTTACAAGGATCCAAATCCAAAATATCAAGTGGAAGTAAGAAAGAATTCATTAATCTGCACGTTTGTAAGTAGCCTAGCTCTATTTTCCTAGGTGCAATCAAATATTTGCCATGAAAAAAAAAGTTACAGTTTCCAAGAAGACCCGAATGTGGATGCTTAACTAGCATCAAGAACAATTATGCCCTTATACATCTTTTACTTAGTAATTTTAGTTCCTTTTTTCAATAGGTATAATTGACCATTCAGTTTGAACTAGAAGTGCACTAGCAATATAGTAAAAGAGATCAAAAAGCAAGTCTTTTGAGTTAAAATACATGTCAGTGCTTTCACAGTTAATATTTTGATCTTACACAATATGCCATCTACCTAAATTATTAGTGTTACTTAAGAATGTAAAGAAAAAAAATGCAATGGCATCAACGTTCCCTCTAATTTTCAGCCCCACTGGGCAGGGCTCCATCCCTCCCAACTCCACTCCCCTGCACAGGATTGCTTTGTGATTGGAAGGAAATGGGCTAGAAACGATTACTATGGATGCACGGGGGTGGGGGAGGAAATCTGCACGGGGGGCGGGCAAAGTCATGCACACTCACACAGTCCCACATCATAGAGGGAACTTTATATGGCATATAAGATCAGCAGTTTATTTATTTATTCAATTTTATTTATTTATTCAATTTATATGCCGCCCACACTACCCAGAGGTCTAATTTAATTGCTGATATATAAAATTCACAGTAAAAATGTATGATTTTCAGTTGGTTGGCTCATCAGAATACTTTCCTTTTCGATATTACATTTATTACACTTAACTTTCTACAAAGACCTTTGTAAATGTCTTTGTATCCGTGGTGGGCTTATATATCCAGCAGTTTAACATACCATTATTAATGTCTCTTTCTGTCAAATCACAAGTAAACTATGCCTATCAGTATATATTTATATGTGTATATATTTTTGTTTTGAAAGGGCATGATGAAAATATATAGAGGCCAATTTTTTTTAAATGATTACTAAAAATAAATGATTATAAATAATGTATTTTGAAACTGTTGCTCTTTAGAATAGATCTGGATATGGTCTCTTAATCCTCATAAGTTTTGTGCCTGCTCAAGAGTGACTGAAATTCAGGTAATGAGAATTATTCAGAAGCTATCATGACCTCAAGTCATCTTTTACAGTGGATTTTGATCTAAGTAAAAAACTGAAAGAGTGGTACAGTTCCATTGCTTTCTACTGTAATCTGTATAAGACAGATGTATGTAACCTTTGTTAAATTGCTTCATATCAATTCAATATTTCTACTTCATTTAACCCTCATTTTAGAGTACCACTGCACACATTATTGCTATAATGCATATGTTTATGAGCAGCACCAAATGGCCAAGCCATGAAATTGTTTACTGCTCATCAACTCTGTTTTCTAAAGTAATTGATCAAACGTTCAAGACAGCAGTTTGTATATTTGAATGAGTGAAGTCATTTTAGCTATAAGTTTCTAACTATTCAGTAGAGTATTCAATGTGTTCTGTGATGCCCTTTGTAACCAGAAAGTGCATATTATTTGCACCATGCCCTTTTAATTTCTTTGCTGACATGAGATTTTCAGGGTCCTCTCCTGATGAGGAAGGCATGGTGTGAGAAACATCCTTTCACACAGATTTTGCTGCCTGGTAGCCTCTTGGTAGCATTTATATGGGGAGAAGGAAATAAGAGCGGATACATTCCAGTGTACTTTGTCCATTTCAATAAAATCAATTAAAACTAATGCTTGGAGAACCCTTGACTTTCTTCTGAAGGAGAGGTGATCTGAGGGGAGAAAGATATGATCCAATTGAAAAATGGGCTACAGGTTTCAATTGCATTGTATTTCACCACACTAATGTACACTTGTAAGAGTGCATTATTGTGGTTTCTTCATACCCTCTTTTTATGTATAAATGCATGTACTGTGCAATGCAGTATCATACACATAGCTGGAAATCTTACTTTTTTGGACTGCTACTCTTAGAATCCCCTGCCAATATAGAAGGATTCTGGGAGTTGTAGTTCAAAAAACTGTGGTTTCCAAACTCTTTTCAGATATGTTCATGATCCACTCATTGAACATAAACCATGCACATTGCCTAGTATAGCTGAACTCTGTAGGACTATCTAGCGATTAGCAGTGATTACTGACAAATTGATAGAAACAGGAAAAATCTGTGTTATTTTTTCCTAATGTTTCTCCTTTAAGGTATTATTTAGTTGCACCTGTCAGCTCAGTCAGCCGCATGTTTTGTCCACTCAACCCTCACTACAGCCCTCTGCTCTATCCAGAAACAGGCTCTGGAGGGTTTCCTGTTGCCAAATTATATCAGCATAAATACAGTGGCATAAGTCTGAACTGGCAAATTGCTCCTATTCAGCATCAGTAATGTCAGCTGATGTGTAATGATGGGTTCAGATGATAGCTCATTAATTACAAGCAATTCGCCACTGTGGTTTACATCATTGCACTAATGTCACTGTAACTAACCAATAGGATTCCGGCCATCATACATGCTACATTTTGATGGTTGAGAAAGCTGTATAATGTGGGCCAAATGTACACTTGAATGCCATTCTGTCTATGGCTATGTTAAGTTGACTGTTATTACAAGTATATTAAGACTGTTTACTTGTAGACATTGTGTTAATAGTCTTCATGGGCAAATGCAGTGCTGTGACTTGTGTTTCGTCTCTTGCTTATTCTTTTACTTTCCATTTATTTTGTTCCCCTTGTTTTATCAAGTTTAAGCCTATTGGCATATTTGAGGTTATGAATAATGTACTTCTGTTCAAGGATATAAGGCCTGGTTCACTCACATCACATTGTGACTATATGGAGGCCTCCAACCCTTTTAAATCCAGTGGCAAAAATCATTTTTAGCCATGGTGATATGTACTACTAAATATAATTGTAAGCAATATATATATATTTCCCATTGTTAAAAGCTGTAAACATGAAGAATATAGTATTTTTAAAAGTACTGTGTCACCAGATGCTTGCATATTTTTAGCAGCATTATACTTTGAATTTTCTTTTCTGCTCCAGTTATACAATGTTAAATTTTATTTACTCCCTGATTACCCAGTGGAGTTAGAGATTACTTTGTCAATGACCAAAAAAAGTCATGTTTCAAAAATATTAGATAAGAATACTGCATGTTTTAATAGCATCTTTCCAGTTCTTCATTTTATCAACTTGCTTTCTTCTGGGTGCTGTACTTTTCCTGGACTTGACACTTCATCTTGGTTGTATCTACAAACACCACAATAAAATGCCACTGATTCTGTTCACGATTTTTCTCCACTTCCATCTATCCTGTCATTGAGTCCCATGATTGAAGATTATTTTTGTGTGTGTTAATGCAGTGGCTCGGGCTAGAGCATATGAATTTTTTTTTCCTACAAGAAATAAAAATATATATTTTATTTTGCTTAGTGGTCAGAAGTGGAGATTATTATTTGTTTGAGACGGACAGTGAAGAAGAGGATGAAGAGGAAAAAAAGGAAGAGGAAGAACCTTCAAGAAGATCTGCATTCCAGGTACTGTTTTTACTTATATGTTTCTGCTAAGAAGGCTTAAATTTCTGAATCTGTACTGCAAGATATGAAAATGTATTTTTGTTTAAACTTAATTGTTGCTTGTTTATACTGTTGTCGCATTTTTCCAATGTTAATGATTTTGAAGATGGATTTTCATTCACTTATACATGCAGCATATTTTTAAAAAAGAAAATAAAGTTTCATATCCTGAACTCTATTTTTCTGATGTTGCACTGGAGACAAGTGAATAAAACATCTTTTTATCAGCATTGCTTCAAACTGTTTAGTTGCTTTTCGGTTCTCAAAAGAAACAAAAGCTTTGCTGAATTGTTGCTGAATTCTTCAAGGTACAACAAACGCAATAAAATTATGTTTTGTAAATAGAAATATAGTTTCAACAAGTTGTCTTTATTTGGTGATGGAAATCATGCAGAGATGACAATTAAAAAAAACTTGTATTATAGGTTGGAAAAAGGGGAGCCAAACTTATAGAGCGACAACATCCAGAAACCTAATGCATATGTATTCCTACATAGAGAGTGGCATCCTTCTGCTACCATACACCTCCCGAGTTTAAGACAGTAGAGATACAGTATTTTATTCCCATGGATTGAGTTACTGAAGTGACCTCAAAACCATAAAGACGTGGAAAATAGGGTCATAGTACCATGAATTGCAACATGTGATCTCAACACAAAGGATCAGATCTAAACCCCTATGGGAGTTGGAACTTCTTGAATACATAAATTGTTTTCCTCTGGTATATCCTCCTGTCAATTGGACCCATATTTTACCATGCTTAATGTAAACCCATTGGTTACAAAGAGTCTACTTCTAGGCATGATTGTAGTTGAATTTAATGTTTACATGCTTGTGATTGCAAGACCAGATTGCAGCCTTTGTCCTTTTCAGGGCTCACAGATAAATCAGGAGTTAGAGATGGGCGCAAATTCATTAATTTGGAACCGTCTGTCTAAATATTATCATGTGGCAGCTGTGCTGCTGTGTGGACTCTCTCCCCACCCCCTGGACTGCCTGAACCACTCACCTTTCATCATGTGTCATCTGGGTTCTTTGTCACCAGTAGCATGCCAATCCAGGCAGGAGCTTGGCCAGCCAGTCCCCATTGTTGCCTGCATAGGAAGAATCCCCGTCCCACCTCCCACCTTGATGAGTGGATGGCTGCCTGCAGAGGTGGGGAACTGGCCAGCACACAACAATATTCAGATAGAGGGTTCTGAATTAACTTGAGCCCATATGTAATTAAGAGTCACGTTCTTTTCAAAAGCAGCACAATTATGGCAGCTTACATTCCTCTTTTGATGTTCAAGCATATATCTTGATTTATAGCCACTTAGAATGTTAGACTGATCAATTTCAAAAGTAAATGCTTTCTTCATGAATTGTAGCAATTAGACTTTTCTAGTTTTGTTATAGATATCACCCTGTTGGTCAGAAGTTCAGCTCTAAAACACTGTCAAAATCTCCTCAGCCAGTGTTAATCCATCTTGAAATTCTGTAAAGAAACCTTTAGTTTTAACCTTTACTATTCCAGTCATTTGCAGCAAATATATTTCTGGATAAAAGAAATTGTGTTATTCTTTTTAATCCACAAAGCTAAGACAGTATTTTAATAATATAAGGTGGAGGGGAAATAAATATATCTACTTCTCTATCTAAAGATAGTCATAGGAGAAAAGATGGGGATCTGCAACTACTAGTAGATGACACATGTTAAAGATTAACTGTAGTATGTGTTTCTAATCAGCGTTACTAATATGTAACTGTTGTGTATGTAATTAAGTAACTTTCATACAAATATTCTGTCACTAATTCCAGTGCACTACTAAGCTTGAATACTCACCAATCACAGTTACAAGCCTGTTCTAAATTAATGTAAACCCTGTTATCTAATATAATCATGCAATATAGTTCTTATAACAATAGTAGTAATGTTTTTACTAATTTTTCTTGCTTTGTCCTTCTTTATAGAGAGCTATTGCGAAATTTGCTTCCGCCATTTTAGCCTTGCCAAAGTCTGTTATTAAACTGCCCAAAACTATTCTTCAGTATTTAATCAGAGCTGCAAAGGTATTTGATGTTCCATACCATGTAGATTGTGATCTCCTCCCATATTATTCTGCCACAGGTTATCTTCCCTCTTCTGCATTTTCCCTCTTGGTATGAACTTTGTGAGGATGTGAGACAGTCAAGAATTTGGATTACTTAGCATTTAATAAACTAAATCATGATAGGAATAATTGCTCCCATTTTGACTGCGATCATAGATCCCAGAGAGAAAATGCAGAGAAACATCCATTTGTAGTTTTGGCATTTCTATTTGAACTGGGTTAAAGGGTTCCATCAGTCTGCATGCATCTACAGATAGTAAATAAATTTCCTGAGTTTAAGAAGGGTTTTACAGTGCATGGTAATCTTTCTCAGAAAGCTGGTAAAACTCAAGAAATTGTAACTAAGCACATTTACTCATCCAGCTTCCTTTTCTTCTGCATCATTATTCTGGTATTAATTAATAATTCACCAGCCATACTTAAAACCTATGCAACAATTTGGCCTTTGCACTCAGGTTCGGTAGTTAATAGTCAAAATCCTATTAGTTATAGCATGCAGTAGTAAGTACCTATGCTGACTTAACATATACCAATTCACTGTTGAGATTTAGAATAAATGGCAACAAAATGGAAAACAAAACAATGGTCCACAAACTAAAAACATTCAACATGCATTCTAATCTCCCCAAAAAAGAGATGCCAAAGAATGCATTAACTGTAGGACATTGCATTAATTTCTCATGCAAACAAAGTGATGTTTACAGACTTACAACAAAGTTTCTGTCATATGAGAGGTGAGAAATGCCCAGTATTCATGTTGGACTCAAAAAAGAAGAGGAACCAGAGAATTGACTGCAAATACTGTATATCTTGGCTAATGAAATATACCAAAGAATTCAGAAGAAAAACATCCCATGCCCTATTGATTACAGCAAAGCCTTTGACTACGTGAAAATCCATAAAAGGTTATGGACTGAAAGAAATGAGTGCTACATTTGGTTGTCTGATCCATAATTTATACTCTGGACAAAATGCTGTTAAGGTAAAATATAGAGAAATAGAATGATTTCCTATATGCAAGTTTTCAGTAGAAGGTGTATTTATCTTTTTTATCTGTTCAACCTGTATTCAGACCATATCAGATTAAAAAGGGGGTTCAATTCAAGTGGAGGAGGAGGAGTGAAAAGTGATGGAATAAATTAATAATTATGGTATGCAAATTATATTATAGTCATGGTGGAAAGCGTGAATGACTTCAATTGATTACTAAAGAAGGTGAAGGAAGAACATGAAAAGTTGGGGTTTCAACTGAATGTTAAGATCAAAATGATGACCACGGAAGAATTAGATTACTTTAATGTTGACAATTAAGAAGTCAAGTTTGCTTTTTAAAAAACAAATACAAAACAACAACAACTATATTTTGGTCTGGTTGTCAATCCAAATGGAGGCTGCATCTAGGAACTCAGAAGAAGGCTGAGATTCAGAAGGGCAGGTATGAAGTAATTGGAAGAGATCTTCAAGTATAAGGATGTGTCCCTGGAGACCAAGGTCAAGATCATCCATAATGCCATGTTCCCAATTATTATGTATTGATTTGAACAGTGGCAAGTGAAGAAGGCTAACGGGGAAAAAATCAGTTCATTCAAAGTTTGTTGTTGGAGGAGCGCTTTACAGATCCCATGTACTGCCAGAAAGACAAATAGGTGGGTGCTAGATCAAATCACACCTGAACACACTTTAGAAAGAAAAATAAAACTATTGTACTTCTAGATATACCATGACAAAACAGGAGTTACTGGAAAAGCCAATAGTACTGGGAACATTTGAAGACAACAAAAAAGAAAATGAAGACCAGATATGAGATGGATTGACCAAATAAATAAAGGATGCCAGAGCCTTGAGTTTGCAAGACTTGATCAGGGTTGTTCATGACAGGCCTTTTTTGAGACTACTAATTCATAGGGTCACAATAAATCAGAAGGACTTGGGAGAAGACAACTACAGAAACTTATCCCTCGAGTAGAGGAAGATGCTGCTTGTCATATCATTGCTTTTCCATTTTTTCATTACCATGCTTTGTTTTCCGATTGGTTGTTGACCAGTAAACACAAGTTTATTTTGCAAGTCTGAGTGCTGATAACATCTCAGAGGAATATCCAAGATCAAATGGAAAAAGTGCTGTTCACAGAGAATATGTGTTAGCCATACTATCTAGTTCAACCCTCAGTCATCAACACAATTGCAAAAGCCAACCCCTACATGTCAAAACAGAAAGCTAATAACAGTTTGATAAAAAATAATCAGACATGTGATCCATGTAAAAATATTCCACCAATTACAGACAAGTAGATATTTTACGCAAGTTTCATTACAGTTTTCAAAAAATACTCACTAATACTATAGCAAAAACAAAATCTCAGAAAACAAATACTGTATATACTACTCAGAGCAGAAGTGTCTTTCCACTTACACAAGATACCTCTGGATCCAGGCTATTGAAGTCTCTTAATATTAATTTAATGTTAATTATTCCCATAGGCTAAATTAGGGACATAGAGGAAAACAGGAAAGAGACAGTCACCCCCTCACCTTCTCTATCTCTGATATCTTTCCACAAACTAATATCAGAAGCCAAGTGGTTTATGTTATTTATATTCTCCTCCAGTTTTAACAATACATATCTTTGTGATGTATCAGACTGATTTTTGTGCATCTGAATTGCAAGAAGTAAATCAATTTAAAGCAGCATTTCTATCTTTATCTTCAGTGATAGCCTGTTCCAGCTTCCTTGAGACATTTGGTGCATGCTTGGGAGTGGTTGCTTTTCTGCTTATTTGTTCATCCTCTTTCCTTTGGATATAAATGTTTGTTTGTTCTGTGGCTGTGGCTGATGTCTTTAATTTGTGATGCAATGCTACCTGAAGATGATTTTCATTTTGGAATGAAGATCATATAGACAAAAGCAAATAACTTTTGTCTCTAAATGCTACTATATAATTATCTCCACCCCCACCCCCACCCCCATTCTTGTATGGTGGGGAAAACTATGCATAATATGTGATAGTTATGGTTTTATGAATTCCCATTGTTCTTGTACTGTTCAAAATAAAACAAACACCTTTAGAAGTAGCTGATCATTTTAAAATATCAGATCAAAATCTAAAGTTCATGTTTTATTTGGAATATCCTTGATCAAATAAGGTGTTACAAATGTCTATGGCTTTTCCCCACAGTGTTTTAGTTTGTTCTTCAAATAAAACTAGGACCAAAATATTTTGAACAAACTTTACTTGGCTTATGTGAACTAAAATTGGTAATATTTGCTTGATCTCCCGGGCCTCAAGATATTTATTCAAATATGTTACTTGTCTTTTATTTTTAAATTTATTTACTGAGGAACTAGAATAAATGAATCTGTTCCCTCTAGTTTGTTTATCAGGCCTGGATCACTGATCCGAAAACTGCCCTCCGGCAGCGGCGCAAAGAGAAGAAAAAGTATGAAAAAGAGGGAAGAAGAAGGTGGAAAGGAGGCTCTAAGGATGGTATGTATGCTCCTGGAATGTTTTCAGTTATATTCTGTAAATGGCACATGTCGCATTTCCCTGTCCTCTGTGGCAAGGATCATGTCAATAGAAGGTATACCTTGCATCCAGATGATAATAAGTAAAGTTCATTGGTATCTTTGATTCAAAAAATAATTATATAGCACGTGGTTGAAAAGGTCTCTACCTCGTAATCTGGAGTGGAAAGCCACTGCCTGCTAGGACTGGCATAGTCTCTTTCTGTGCAGCTATTTAAGTAGAAGTTGCTCATGTTAAGCTGGCTGGGTAGCTTGGTGTGTTAGGTCTCTGGCTGTGAAGTATTCTCTACCTAGAAAACCCTGGAAGGGATTGTCATGAGTCTGAATCTATTTGATGACATGCAATTTAGTGTATGGATAATATATGGACATATAAGAGGAAGACATTAACCTAGTTCCAGTTCACCAGTATTCAACCAATAAATAGTAGTTTTTCCAACTAGAAACTGACAAGTGCAGTCTCTCCTCCTATGGACTCCTTTACCTGCTTTCCCTTTCCTCCTATTGTATTCTGCCACAGTAACAGCAACTGTCTTGTGGTACCTTAAAAACTAATGAGTTTTATTTGCCATAATCTTTCATAGACTGTAGCTCATGATCTGCATCTGTTCAACAGGCTTATACTATGTAACACTCATCAGTCTTTAAGGTATCTTGTCCTGTTTTAACATTTTCTGATCTATAAGGTCCAATTTTGTGTGAATCCAAACTGTACTATGTTTGTTTGTTTTTCATATAAATCCAGGTATCAGAACAAAGGTTTCATTCTGAGTAGTGGAGGGTTGGTTAAACTGCAGTTTCCCATTTGAACATAATGGGAAATGATGGTTTAACATATTATGTTTTGAATTGAGGCATATTATAGAAGGGAGAGTGTACAGGGACAAGCCCCCCAAAATTATGATCAGGAATCCTTAGGTCTGTTCCAGGCCAGTGTACAGTATGCTGCCTTTGGATCGTATAATGCACCTATCTACTGCTAGATGGATGGAGAGTAGAGGGTGACAGTAAAGGGGCTGGTTTGGAAAGGAGGTAGGCATCCTTCAGTCTCGAGAGACTATGATAACATGCTCTGAATAGGAGGAAGACAGTGAAAAACCACCCACATTCTAATTAGTCAAGCAAGATAGATGCTGAAATCAGCATCTACATATAAAATTAAATTAACCAAAAATCACTTACAGACAATATCCAGTTAATGCGATACAGTAATGTATCCCTATGGGATGAATTCTGTAGAATGTGAAGGCAACAGAGCTATAGTTATCAAGACAATTTATTTTTACTGAATAATTACACATCAGAATTCTTTGGTAACTGCTTTGATATTGCTTTCTCAGTAGGTATAGAAGTGGAGTGCGAAGAAAGAGAAGAACCTGTGAAAAAGAAATCAGATGGACCTGGTAAGCAAAAGGGCAAGAAAATTCTCTTTTTTTAAAGTAATAACTGATAAGATAGCACAACTATGTGTTACACAAAGTAGTCTCTTAAAATATAGGTGCTGTAACATTTACTGACTGTTACATGTAAGAGTGACCATTGCAATCTGTAGAATATTTCCTATGGTCTAGAGTTTCTTAAATCATTGACAAATGTTTGCTATTATCATGATGAACCTATTAAATTTGAATCTTTCTTGTTTCTCCTAGATAACATTATAAAAAGAATATATAACATCTTGAAGTTTACCTGGGTTCTTTTTCTGGCTACAATAGACAGTTTCACAGCTTGGCTCAATTCAATTTCAAGAGAGCATATTGATATTTCCACAGTGCTAAGAATTGAAAGGTGCATGCTTACTAGAGAAATAAAAAAGGTAAAATGGCATGTATATTTTATTTGTTACACTCATGTTCCACCTTTCTTCAGATGAACTCAGAGTGGCATGCCTGGCTCTCCTCCTTACAATAACCCTGTAAGTGTGTGACTCACCCCAGGTTACTCTAGTGGGTGAGTGGGAGTTTGAACCAGGTTTTTTGACACCCATGAATGTTTTATTGGCTGAGTAGACCCTGTCTTTTGCCATTCAGTTTTTCTTTTACTTCTGGAAATATATGCAAATCAGAGAATTAGCAAAGCAGTAGACAGACTAGAAATTGTACCTCTTCTTACCTAGGGGAATGTTCCTACTCGGGAGAGTATCCATATGTATTACCAGAACCATATAATGAAACTTTCCAGGGAATCAGGATTGGATGAAATTGAACCCGGACAGGCTGAAAGGACAGCAAGTCTGGAATCAGCTCTTTCTCGTGACAGTGAATCCAGGTATCTTTATTTTTAATGCAGAAATTCTAGATATCACCTGCATGAGTGTTCAAACATCTGGTATTAACTTTAGTTTAAAGGAGCTGATTAATGTTGCATTTCATACTTACTATGAAACGTTTTTGTTAGCCTCCTTATAATTAGAATATCTGATGTTTTTTTCATGGTCTTCAGGTGTCATGCTGGCTTGTAGGCTTTTGACTTAGGCTGAATTAAACTGGTATGAAAAGCTACTCAGATAGTTTTTAGATACTTAGATTGCTAACTCTGTTCTTGCTTCAAAAACAAGACCACAAGTGGACAGTGGTATAGGCCAGGGGTTCCTAACCTTGGGTAACCTGGGTATTTTTGGATTGCATTTCCAAGAAACCCCACCCAACTAATGTACACTGTCTGAATTTCTGCTGAAACAAGAGCAGATAGTGAATAAAAGGGAAGAAATACTAGTCCCTATTTCTATGTTAAATGGGCATTATTAAAGGCTGCTATTAACAAATGGCAACTGAATGTACCAGAATTCAAGGGCTGAGATAGAAATAAATGTCAGACGTTTTCCTAAAGCTAAATTATTGGAAAGTATACAGTATTCAAGTCTGGCAGTGTGATCCTATGGCAGTTTTACTTAGGGGTTTTAGTGGGTCTTATCCTCTAGTAAGATTTCAACTTGTTATGCTATGTTTTTCCATTTTCCTAACTACTGATTCTATGTGATTATCAGAGCGCTATTTTGATCCAAAGAGCTTGTTATCTCCTCTCAGAATCTGTTGTCTATGTGTCTTTGCATTGTGCATGGCCAGCCTGCAGGTATAATGTTGGAACACATCTGTATGCTGTTGGTATTCAACCCTGTCTTTATAACTGTTTGCACTGTTAGCTGCTGCACTGAAGCAACTACACTATTGTTGTCAAGACAGTCAACCCTAGATGATATAGACGGACCAGATGCTATTCCTAAAACAAGTGAGCGTGCACGACCTAGGCTTCGTAAAATGTACAGCATGGATATGTCATCCTCATCTGCTGACAGTGGCAGTATGGTGTCAAGGTGCTTAACCCATGCATGTTTTGTTCACTTGTTTACCCTGACCATTTTAAATTTCATCAACATCAAAGTTAGCAAGTATTGTGTGTATATTTGTCGAAAGATGTGTTTTACTTGCAAAACTGGTAGAAACAGCTTTCTCTTGTTTAAACTCATTCTAATATTTTTCTCTATGTCTCATCATTCCTTTTCTTTGTTATACTTTCGTTTTCAGATTCCTTAATTAAACGCTTAGTTTCATTCTCAGCTGACAGCTTGGAGTACAGATTTTGGTCAGATCCTAATTAAGATAGAATTCTGGTTAACCTTAGCTACAACTAACATTAGTATTGACTGGCAGTGGGAATGAGCTCAACAATAGCTAAGATCGAAGCGGGCAATTCACTGTGAGAAAGGGAAGAACCTGGAAAGGCAAAACCTTTAACCCAGTTGTTTGTTCCAGATTCTTCAGTCTGGTTGAGTGGGTTGGTATAAACTTAGTTTTAAAGTCCAGCAACAGAACAGAAATGAACAAATAACTGTGATATTTGTGTCATAAAAAATTGGTAAAACTGTTTTCTCCTCTTCTTGACAGTGAGGCCACCCAAGTCACCATGCTGTATTCCCGTCAGGGAACAGCAGAGACCATTGAAGAAGTTGAAGGGGAGGAGCATGAAGAAGAAGGAGTAGATCCTGCATCTGGACAAGAACCTGACATGGAAGATTTTTGTGTGGATTCTGAAGGCGCTGCATACACTTCTGATACAGACATGCCCTCCTATTCTGCTTTGGATGGCATTGCTGATCCCCCTCCTTCATATAGCAAAGTTGTGAGCTTGGAGCTTTTCCCAATGGATGGTTCCCAAGATGGCTCCTCTGATAAAAACCAAATGATGGTGAGCCCAGATGAAAATCAGTCTATCAAACAGGAAGATTCTATACTTCCTCCTTTGACACATGAGCTGACTGCAAGTGAACTACTTCTTAACAAGTAAGATTCATAGAACAGTTTCCTCACTGGCAGGGCATGTATGTAGAAAATTATATTAACTGAATGTTCTACTCAGTTATGAAAATTACTTTGTGATGAATCTCAAGTATGTTATTGCAACTCACTGATGACATCTTTATCTTCTGAAATATACTAGTTTTAAGTTTAACTGTGTTTTCTCGAAGGCTTTCACGGCCGGGATCTGATGGTTGTTGTGGGTTTTTCGGGTTCTTTAGCTGTGTTCTGAAGGTTGTTCTTCCTGATGTTTCACCAGTCTTTGTGGCCGGCATCTTCAGAGGCCTGGAGAAGGGATTCTGTCCATGCTCTGTTGCTGTTTGTTGGATAGTTGAGTATTTATAGCTGTGGGAACAGCTTTTGTTTTTTTTCAGAAGATACGGTAATGAGCGTGTTTTTTGTTGTGATAAGGAGGGGGAGATTATCTGTTACGGTGATTGATGGGTGCAAGGACCAGGGATCATTGCACAAAAAAGACCAGATAGTGACACCCATATAAATATTTCCATAGAAGTCCACATGGGCACTGTATATATATGTGAGGTGTGTGTGTGATCTACATATAATGGAAATTACAGCCAGTTGCATCATTCAAGGACAAGTATATGTCACAAAGCACTTTATGATCTAAATACTTCTTTAAGATGTTTAATACAATTCTTTGTATTAAACATCTGTATACATATATCACTCAAATCCTGTTGTGTAAGTTAATGCAATGCTGATGTAGCAGCAGCAGCAATTTTTAAGACATTAAACACTTCCCATTTCTCCCCAGCAGTTCCCAAGGCCTTCATTATCATAAGACCATTGGAGGCTGTGGAATGAGAAAGGGAAATTTTAAATTACCAAAAATCACAACCACCAATAAAGTCAGCCTGGTGGTGGCAGTTTTTAGCAATTAGATTTCTCTCTCCTGATCTATGGCACTTCCTGAGGATGAAGGGGATTCCACAGGAGTCTCAAGACCTTTGGGGGAGAAGTTGAAAGTGTTTCATTAAAAAAATCATCATTGCTGATGATTTCATCAGCCTTATGTGGTGTAACTTACGTTCCGTGTCTAAATCACACTGGCCATGTGACCACGGAAAGATTGTCTTCGGACAAACGCTGGCTCTATGGCTTGAAGAGCGGGATGAGCGCCGCCCCCTAGAGTCGGACACGACTGGACAAAAATTGTCAAGGGGAACCTTTACCTTTTTAACATGCAAACAGTCCCAGAAGTGAAACTTGATCACTCAGATTCTTTTGGTAGGATTCTAAAAACTGCTTTTAAGTGTATCCATAGGCTTTGGTATCTGGGCATCCTATTTTCTTTGAAGTGCAGATAGCCAGAAGGCATCATTGATTACTTTGAAACAAATGATACATTGAAATATTTAGTGGATACTCCTAGTTCTATATGGTTTCTCATGTGGAGAAAGACTGATGTTTGAGAAACATATTGGCATTCCCCAAATTGAGTCTGTCAAATGTGTGGCATGATTCATTGAGTAATGTCTTATTAAGAAAAAAAAACCCTTCTCATCTGTTGATATGAACTGGTGATTTAGCTTTAAAGTATTTACACATCAAATCTTGTCTAACTTTTTTTCACAGAATGTTTCAGGATGAAGAACTGGATGAATCAGAAAAATTCTATGCCAATCAGCCACGGTTTTTGCTCCTTATTTATGCTCTATATAATACACTTGTAGCACGTTCAGAAATGGTGTGTTATTTTGTAATTATTCTTAATCACATGATCTCTGCCTCCATGATTACCCTAGTGCTTCCTATACTCATCTTTCTCTGGGCTATGCTCTCTGTCCCAAGACCTAGCAAACGTTTTTGGATGACGGCCATAGTCTACACTGAGGTATGTTGTATATTGCACAGGCATTCTTTCAGGTTTACAGTTTTATATGAATGAACCTTCTCATCTTCTGATGGAGCTGTGTGGAGGCTGGATGCATGTGTTTTCTGATTTAAACTAACCATATTCTCTTACCTCCAAAGTACTGCATTTATTTTAAATTGCAGCTTTGATTTCTCATTCCAGCTCAGTAAAATGTGGTTTACATTAACTACAGTTGGTCATATATAATGGCAAACTGTTATTAGGTTATGAAAGAGTTGTTTGCCTGCACACAAATACAGCAATAATGTAGATGGGATATGGGAATGTTTGTAAACCCTGCCTCACTGCTCTATTTGTCTGGTTGTGTTATAAATCAGTGTGGCTCTTCAGATTTTGATTGACCACAAGTCCCATGATCCATTGTCAGCATAGCCAATGGTGAGAGGTCATGGGAGATGCATTGCAGCAACACAGGAGGGCCACATTTCCCCCATCTTTGCTGTACTGTACATGATTCAGGGCTGAAACAAGCCATTTCCCTCTCTTCTGCAATATCACATTACCCCTCTGTTTTCCCCTTCTGTTCACTTCCTCAGTCTTACATAGTTTTCATGGGGACTTTTCTGGTTTTTCCACCTTAATGAAAATCAGTTTATTTTGATTGAACAGTACATATATTTCCATGTATCTAGGAAATCCTCTCAATATATAAAAACATTACCTTATTTTATACCAGTGGTTTCCAATCTTGGGTAACAAGGACTCTTGAACTGCTACTCCCAGAAGCCTTCACCACTAGCTGTGCTGGCTGTGGTTTCTGGGAGTTGTAGTCCAAGAATACCTGGATCACCCAAGGCTGGGAAACAATGCTTTAGACTGTTCCTACTATACATATGACCTGCTGAGTTCAGTATTCAAAGAAATGATCATTTCTGATAGGATGGTCTCCTCTTGGTAGCAGTCATCAGTTTACAGAGTCAGTCACCACATTCCAGTTATTACTCTCACAGACACATTATAGGAAGCTGGAATTCACAATAATTTGGGGGAAATGTAACTAAAATTTATTATGATTAGATCAGAAATGTATTTTTAAATAGACTACTTGCATTTTTCTCTCTTTCAGAATACTAAAAAGAGGGGTCACTCAATGAAGTGCTTAATAGCAGATTCAGGAAAAATGAAAGAAAATCACGTGTTTTAGTTATTTCTTGTTTTAAGGTCTTGTGATAGCTTCGAAAGGAGTATAAACAAATTCTCCAGCTATGATAGTTAATAGAATTCTTCTCTTCAGTTTTCTTCATAAGACAAGTTGTTGGAGTACAGAAAAATTGAAGCTTTATGCTGTGCTTACAGATTTTTATAAAACATTTCCTGGGCACTGTGCAAATCAAGAGGCTCAGCTAGATTAAATTTTATCATGGGTCCTCTTACATTTCTAGCAGTGTTTTGTTAGCCACAAGGGGAAGCAGCATGCTGAGATACCTTAACTTTCGTAACAGTGCTTAACATCAGTGCTGTTATGTAACAGCAGCATGCTGAGATACCTTGACTTTCGTAACAGTGCAGACTTTCGTATCATCTTTATGTGGAACCCTTGGAATTATAAGAAATGTTGTAAGTTGCATCCAGTTGAGTGGGCTACCATCCTTATGCCCAATAAAACCTGTCTTTAAATTATCACAAGGTTCTCTGAAATGTTCTTTCATTAACCGGACGGTGCTCTGTCCTTTGTTTGTTTCTTACATAGGTGGCAATTGTTATAAAGTATTTTTTCCAGTTTGGATTTTTCCCTTGGAACAGACAGTTAGAGCTAAAAAAGGACAAACCTTACCATCCTCCCAATATTATTGGTGTTGAGAAGAAAGAGGGTTATGTGCACTATGACCTTGTTCAGCTACTTGCTTTGTTTTTTCATCGATCAATTTTAAAGGTATTTTCAAAGTAAATATGTATTCTGTTCTCTTTAATGTAGCTTTTTCATAAAGTGGCATGACTGATAATATTCAGAATTCTCATCATATCTAAATTAGTTACATTATGATGTAAAGAAAAGTTTAAATTCATAGAGATATGAATGTTTATACTAAGTAAAAAACTTTAAATGCAAAATTTTGGCAAAAGGAAATCAAATACATTCTGCAAGGGATGTACCTGAAATATAATGCAGTCAAAGAATGTGCCTTTACTCACCTCTGTTTAGGTAGGTCACGGTGTAATGTGAACTCCAGACCCTTATACAGTGGTTCTCCCAGCACATCAGTCAGAGATCACAAAGTGCATGGAATGTGTGTGTGTGTGTGTACTATCATTGCTAGAATCCAAAAGACCATATGTGTGCACGTCCATATGTGTACACTGATACATGGTAGTACTGTTCATGATGTAGCCCCTTAGGCTGAAAGCAGCCTCTTATGCCCTAGGAGCCCAGTAGCATGGCGTGAAACAGCCTCCTGGTTTGTTGCCAGATACCTGCAGAGCAGCTATGAATTAGGCCCCAAAGAAATGTAATTGCCTGATGTTAGTACTGAATGTATCTGGATCTTTGCATCTGTAAGGTGACCACTCCCTGATTTTGCTGGTGTCATTACTCTCCTTGCTTTCTCTTTTTATTCTCTTCTTTCTCCTTTTGCTTTTTTCATTCTCATCTCCTCTTTCCTGCTTTATTAGTTTTGTCTTCAGCTCCCACAATGTCCTCGCATTGAAGCACCAGTGAAGAATTAAGCTGGAAAGAGTCAGAGATCACTTAACCACCCTGTGGGGACTAGAGTAAAGACTGCTCCACACCTTGAGCAGTTCTCACCTCTGGTTAGACTGACTTTAAACTCCCCAGGCAGGGAAAGCACAGTGCTTTTGCAAGCCCTAGAGCCTCATGGGAACTTCTGCTGTTGATGCAAGAAAGCAGCACCTGGGTTTTTATCATCCACACTTTTTTTTGTCCTTATGGCTTTCAGTGAGGACCAATAATCCAAAAAGCAGCCAATTTTAAACTCAAATTCGTATGATTTTAAATGTGAAAATGCCTTAAATATGTCTCTATTTAGTGTCATGGATTATGGGATGATGAAGACATCGGAGACAACAGTATTAGTAAAGATGACTCTGATGATGAGTTGGCTGAATCAGAGAGGAGGGGTTCTTCTGACTCTTTGACATCAGTAAATTTGGCAACGTCTGTGGAATCGATCCATGTCCATTTCCCAGAGCAGCAGGCTGCCGTGCGTAGGAAGAGTTCAAGCAGTGGCTCACAGCTTTCACACAGATCCAGCTTTTCTTCTCACCGTTCAAAGAGAGGCATGTGCATAGTAACCGCTAAGTCTGTGAAAATGAATGGGATATACATACACAAGCAGTCTTCAATTCTATTAGTTTGACGTAGGAACAGCCATTGTTTAGGATGGAAAGTGTAATACATTAAATAGTATTAAATAAAAGTCTGAAATGCATGTTAAAACCAAGTATTGTAAGCATTCTTAAGAACGGTGTATTTCTATATGAACCTACCTGTAAACTACACTCTATTGGGATGTCTGAATTTTTTCTGTCTGATGTGTTATGGGTGGAATATAGCCCCTTCAGGAGTTAACCTCCAGGCAAAATCCGGAGCCGGAGTCCCGGAGGCAGTTTGTGTCGTTCTGTCAACTCCTGCGACATCGCTGGAACCAGTTGTATTGACTCTTGCCTTTCATTGGACTATTCCAGCAACATGGAGAGGGGGGATTTGCTGCTTGGGTAACAGCCTATCCTCCATATGATTTTACCCAGGCTTCGTGCTCTGGAAAGTACACTCCAGCTCAGAACACGTTACTATAGTCTCTCGAGACTGAAGGATGCCTAAGAAAGACAGCCCCTTTAGTTACATTGCCCAAATTTTAGAATATCTTCCTGAGATAAGTACACCATCATTGCTCAGTTTTAGTCAGGGAGCAACCCCCCCTTTTTAAATTTAATGGGGCTTTCACAATGCAAAGTTTAAGGATGTTTCTGCTATATTTAAGTGTTATCATAATTTGGATTTCAGATCTCTTTGTGTTTTCCATTTTTTACTCTTACATTTTAGAAAGCTAGATAGAAATTCCCAAAACAAACAATGTTTTCATGCAAAACCATTTGCCTAACTGTTTCGTTTCACAAAAAATATTTTTTTAATTGTGCTACATTACATTACTTTAGGAAACATAGGTTTCTAATCCTATGGTTGCTGAATAATGTGACCTCAGCAATTTCAGGAAAGAACAAAATAACAAGAAGAGATGTTTAATATTTCCCATGCTTCCCTGTTAGTGTCCTATGGGTGTCCTATAGAAACCCTCCCGCAGATATTTTGTTATTTTTTTCACAGTGGTCCAAGAGTTAAAGGAAGTCAGCCATGAGGAAAATGCCCAAGTGAGTGACTTGCAAAGAAAAAAACATCAGACAAGGGGAAGTTATTTCTTCCTGCCTAGTGTTTATCACTGAAAAAATGCTCAGCCTTGTATTCATAAACCATGGCATTCATTCTCTGCTTGCAAGGGCCAGTTTCTTGTTCATATACCTTTGGTGATAACTGGGGGAAGGATTTCTATGATACGTCATTTTTTTTACCTTACCATATAGCTTAAGCTAAATTTGTGATAGAAGACTAATGTGTCACTTGTAATGATTCTTTCCCTGCCTGTATTCTCAGGAAGTACCAGCACAAGGAATAGCAGTCAAAAAGGAAGCAGCGTATTGAGCATAAAACAAAAATCTAGGAAAGAGCTCCTTATGGAAAAGCTGCGGGAACAAATTATCATAGCAAAGGCATTTACAATTAAAAAGTGAGCAAGTGAAGTTTTTGTCAAGTTTAATGAAAGACCTCACCTAGTACTGACATATTTTCTGCAATGGGTAACTTGTAAGACTGTCTAGTGTTCATGTGGAGATTTCAACAACATAAAAAAAATTCCATGTTCTCCTCATTCTGTTAACTTTGCTTGCCTTTCTATGTAATACTAAAGGACTCACATTTTGCACTGGTTGGTAGTCTTAAATGTGAGTACTTTATTGCTATGTAGTGGGAGGGGTGTTCTAAAGAATAATTAATTGTTTATGTGCCATCAGAGTGCTTTAGAATTAAATGCACTTTCTTGCAACACTCTTCAGAATTTACAAGGTAAAGTGTACTCAGGACTGGTTTACTATCGCCTTCTTCTGGGGGCACCCAAGGACTGTGCAAGCTTGCCCAAGGATGCACCTAGGAAGGATACGTGTCCTCCCCCAACTTTCTTTCCCTATTAGCATAAACAAAGGAGACTTTAAACTGGCTAAACCATGAAATATGGAATATATTTTCCCCCCACATTCTGTTCTACACTCTAGAAGTGCAGCTTAATTCGTGCAGTTATTTTTTACCCAAACATCTGTTTTAAATACTGATAAACAGATATTTTACTTGTGCATAGGGGCTCTGCAGTTTGTGCATAAATCACTGCTTGAAGGCCTCATTTCACTGTCCAGCTAATAAATACAGAATCCCCAGGGGATGGGGATGGGGATAACCATAAGTATTGTGTCATATATAATCAGTTAACTATTACAAGAATGTAATATACTTAATACACACATGCCACATTTTTGCAGAATATACAGCCACTCATTATGCAGTCATGGCCAAAAATATTGGCACCCTTGCAATTCTGTCAGAAAATGCAATCCTTATTGGCACCCTGTCTAAATTGTAATAAAAATATTTCTTACAGTTTAGACAGGGTGTCAATAATTTTGGCCAGTGCATTTTTGAGTTTCTGTGAGGGATTGTATCAAATTTGACTTTTCGTCTCTGTTTTTTTGTGTTGTTCCAGCGCAAAACAAAGAAATGAACATGTATCACAACATTTGCAACTGCAAGAGTTTTCAGAGAGAAGGGTTGCATTTTCTGACATAATTGCAAGGGTACCAATATTTTTGGCCATGACTATATACTCAGAAAGATATGATGAACATTAAGAACTCTTTGTATGAATTTGTGGTGTCAGTAGCATTACGTTATTTATATTCACTCTTATCTGTTAGCTCCATCTTATCGGTTCATTTTATTTACAAGCCCATATTTGAAAAGGAAAAAGAAAAGTGTACTTTAGATATTTCCTCCATAACAATAACAACTAGATGAATCATTGCCCTATTTAAATATCAAAAATAAAAAAACTGCAGAAGCCACTCTACTTTCTATATATTGATCCTTGAAACTTGCTACATAACTTGGGGAATGATACCAAAATGTAGTACATATACCTGCAATTCCAAGTGGCGAGTGGAGGTAGATTTCATAGGAACTTGTTCCACCATGCAGCTTTGCAAGTTTGTGATTCCCACAGTGCAGCAGGGCACTTTTATAAGGGGCTAAGAAGTGGCATGGAAACAGCATGGAGGTAAGAGAATTGTTCTACCACCTGCTGGTTTGCTGGCTCCCATTCCCATAATTCGGACTCGTGCGTGCGTGCGTGTGTGTGCGTGTGCGTGTGCGTGTGCGTGTGCGTGTGTGTGTGTGTGTGTGTGTGTGTTTCCTATTGAATTATGGAACTGGGAATTTGTTGACCTTGAACATCCTGTCCCTACTTTTTTTTCCAGTGCTACCTGTTGATGCCAGGGATTGAACCTTGGATGTTCTACATGCAAAGAAATTATTTTTAATAAATTAGAATCGCTTTTATAATGAAGTATGTCTGAAAGAGTTGTGGGGGAAATTTCATTTCTTAATACTAAAATTTTATTATAATAAAATACAAAATACCTTAGACCATACCTCTTGAGCACTTGACCAATTTGAAAACTAGCCTCCAACCCCATGGAATTTGCCCACCTCCATCCTAGAGAAATAAACTGCTTTCCAAACACTTGGAAGTAGAGGTCAATTTAAGACAAAGGATTAGGCAAATTTAATGAAGTTCTAAATGTAGTCAAGTACATCATTTTTTTTATTGCATAGTATTTATGACTCATACATTGTTCTTTGTAAATAAGGCTATGTTTTCTGTTATTTCAGGACACTTCAAATATATGTGCCTATCAAACAGTTTTTCTACAATCTCATCCACCCAGACTACAGTGCTGTGACTGATGTTTATGTTCTGATGTTCCTTGCTGATACTGTGGACTTTATCATCATTGTGTTTGGATTCTGGGCTTTTGGGGTATGTTAGATGGAGGTTGAAGTGCTGGGATGTATTTGCTGTAAATGATAATTAATGTGATAACAAAAGAGATTTTGCTTCTTCTATCTTATTGCCCCTGATTTTCTTTCCAGAAACACTCTGCAGCAGAAGATATTGCCTCTTCATTATCAGAGGACCAAGTCCCCAAACCATTCTTAATTATGGTACTAATTCAGTTTGGTACCATGGTAGTAGATCGGGCACTGTATCTGAGGAAAACTGTCATGGGAAAAGTAATTTTTCAAGTCATCCTTGTTTTTGGCATACACTTTTGGATGTTTTTTATCTTGCCTGCAGTGACAGAAAGGTAAATTGCTAAAGGCTTTTAACTGAACAGCATTGCATCCATTGCTTCCGAAAAGTAATGAATCCATGTGCAAATAGGAATTTTTTTTTCTTATGATTTCCACTAATCCGTCAACAGTGATTATGTTGAGCAAAAAAATAAAAGTGCCATAGATGATATGTAACAAGAATTGCCTTGCCTTTCTTGGATCAGGCATGAGCTATTTATCTTTTGAAAGCAGATTTTTTTTTTTTAAAAAAAATCCCTTTTGATGTGAGAAGGCATCCCATCCATTTATGACAAAGCGCCCCCCACCTATGAAAGACAGGGATCAGGTGACCAGAATCCTTTGCCTTGATGCTAGTTACTGGCTTCTCCTTCCCAATTTGTTCCGTGCTTTTGATCAAGACAGGATTGTTCTGCTTATTTCTCATAATCTCAATATTTTTTTGCCTGATCATCTTTCTAGTTTGCTTTCTTGGTGATGTGAATACAGAGTGAAGACTTGTTTGGAATCTGACTGAAGTTTCTCTTCAGACCACTTTTACAGATGCAATCATAGGATCATTTATTCAGAACAACCATTCAGGCTTTCTAGCAATAGTAAAAAAAAAAAAATTGAATAGTTCTTTGTGGGTGCTCAGTCATGGATTTTTAAATCATGACTAGGAAAAAAAATAATGAAAATCATGGATCATGCACTCTGTCCTTCAGCAAGTGAATATTAATGATTTCTATAGGATTATGTAGTGGATTCTTTTTAATTGCCTATTCTTTCCAGTATATTGAAGCATCCAGAACCAAATTATCAATTTCTGCATCATGATTTCAAGCCCATCTAGACAGCTGTACCTTTGGTTGCCCTCTGCTCTAAAAGGCACTGACAAATCTGTTTAAATTGCAGGAGTTTGAGAAATGGTGTGCAAAAAGTTGCTGTTAAGAGAAGAGAATGCTTGTAGTGAAAGGAGCTCTTGGCATTACAATCTGATTTTAGAAAGTGTGGGTGGGTTAATGCATTCATTGTCTTCTGCTTTATTTTGTATTTCAGGAAATTTAGCCAAAATACAGTTGCACAACTCTGGTATTTTGTGAAATGTGTTTATTTTGGGTTATCAGCATATCAGATACGTTGTGGCTACCCAACTCGAGTATTAGGCAATTTCCTTACAAAAAGTTATAATTATGTAAACCTCTTCTTATTTCAAGGGTGAGTATACACATTTTTATATATGTATATATAAACATATGCATTCTATATATATATATATATATTTGCTAACATTTTATGTATCTGTTTATCTGTATGGCTAACTATATATTTATTATGGAAAAGTTGAAAGCCACATGGAAAGAGGAGGACCAAATACTGTACAGGATGAATTGAATCAATAAAAGAAGTCACAGCTTTGAGTTTGCAGGACCCAAGCAGGACTGTTAATGACATTGTGCAGCCGTCACAGACATCACCTTTTGGAATTAATTCTTAGAGTTAATTCACTAATTCACTAAGAATTAATTCACTAATTCTTAGGGTTGCCATAAACTAGAAACCGCTTGATGACACATAGCAACAGTAATTTATTAATTAATGTTTGTAGGCTTTCTTATTACCACCATACCTTCCTACCAAGATGAAAATTACTGTGCAGTCATTCTTTTATATTTGACATTAATGTAATGAATCACTAATCATCAGTTTAATTAAATGGGGCTACGCAATTCAACAGATAATAATCTACAAACAGTAATTGCCATCATGTACCCCCACTCTACAGCTGAAACAGGTGTTGAAGCACTTCTGTTTATGTTCATGTTAAAATTTCTTGTGACAGTTCCCTCTTTTTGTGTGGCTGTTTCAAGATTTCCCCCCTCCCCAGTCTTGGTAGGAAATGTTTAGGGTACAAAGAGAGTTGCCACCTGTAATAGGAATTCTTTAAGCTCCCCTTCAAGTGTGTCAGCTCTGTGTGTTCGTTTGGGACTTGATGCATGAATGTTGAAAAGTATCCTAACATCTTAAAGGCATAGAAGTAAATCACTTAAAATCTTGCCTGAAATCTTTTGGCACAGTTACACCTGTGGAAGGCAAGCAGCATAACTTGTAGTGGTTTCCTGCTGGCAATTAACTCACTCCTGCTTGGATGTTTGGGTATATGCCTGCCTGGTAGTTTGGTGTGTGCCTAAAAATAAAAGTGAAAACTAATTGATTGGCAGTAAGAAGGTCACTGCAAGTTACACTGTTACGTCACAGGCATAACTAAGCAACAGGAATTTGGCCATCAAATGCACCATTATATTCGAAACTAACAATGACTCTTCATCTACTGTGATTTTTCTTTGGTTAGATTCCGTCTGGTACCATTCTTGACTGAACTGAGGGCAGTAATGGACTGGGTTTGGACAGATACAACATTAAGTCTTTCTAGCTGGATCTGTGTTGAAGATATTTATGCTCATATATTCATTCTAAAGTGCTGGCGAGAGTCAGAAAAAGTAAGAAATCAGTTTATTTACAGACTTTATAAAGAGTAGTAGTTCATATGGGAGGACTTTGAAGAAATTTAAATTTTATTTTTGAGAATCATGTTCTTAAAAAGAAACATGAACTTTTTGCTTATATACACATGTAAAGTTGATGGTGTATCAGACATTATTTTGCTCAAGTATTTGTTTTTCAAAGTAAATTTATAATTCCTTTTGTTTTAAAGTTTTGGACTCAATTCAGTTCCCAGTACCAACTAGATTATACCTTTATATTGTGGAACATATTTAGATATTGAGATTGTTGTTGTTGTTTAGTCGTTTAGTCGTGTCCGACTCTTTGTGACCCCATGGACCAGAGCACGCCAGGCCCTCCTGTCTTCCACTGCCTCCCGGAGTTGGGTCAAGTTCATGTTGGTCGCTTCGGTGACACTGTCCAACCATCTCACCCTCTGTCATCCCATTCTCCTCTTTCCTTCGCACTTTCCCAACATCAGGGTCTTTTCCAGCGAGTCTTCTCTTCTCAGGAGATGGCCAAAGTACTGGAGCCTCAGCTTCAGGATCGGTCCTGCCAGTGAGCACTCAGGGCTGATTTCCTTCAAAACAGATAGGTTTGTTCTCTTTGTAGGCCTGGGGACTCTCAAGATCCTCCTCTAGCACCACAATTCAAGGATATTGAGATATCTCCCATTAATCCAGCAGTTCTGTTCTAAATGGGAATAGTAATAGGATTTAGTCTTTAAGTACAGATTATGTGCACACACTGATTTAAGAACCTGGGAAAAATTAAAATGGATAGTTCCATGAAGCTTCAGGCTTTTAAAAGGAAGAATTGAAATGACTTGATTTTACTAAAAGAAATAAATATAAGAATTTAGGACCTGGGTTATAAAAGTTGTGAATAGCAGCTGAACCTGCTATTTATAAGATTTGAATGCCTGCAGCATTTTAGATGTCTAAAAATGCTTCTTTATTTACCTGAAACAGGAACTCTTAATGAAAGGCAGAACTGTTCAACATAAATCTGTCTGAACTCTAGGAGGTAGTTGGACCCATGCGACATTTCATCTGGGGTACACTCTAAATTAAAAATAATTGAAGTGATATCACTGACTTCAGTGAATTTGTTTTGTTTTGTTTTTTAACCATGATTTAGTTCTTATTTTTAGCCTAGACTCAGCAGTTTACAAGTACTGATAGTTCTTTGTCATGGTCTCTGTGCATCAGACACATGGGTTTGTCCTGCACATGCACACTGACTCCAGAGATTGCAAGAGCGAAAATGAAAGCACTTTTATCAGGACTCAGGAGCCCTGGCCAGCCACTTGTGGAGAAGGTAGATGGGCAAATAGCAAGAGGTGGGAAGCAGCAAATGCCAGACCCACATTTCAAGAATTAAGTCCCAGGCTACCCTAGAGAAGCTTGGAGAGTGCAGGGAAAAGCCTTCTGCAAATGTAAAAATGCCAGGATTACTCATCACCAGAGATGATATTCTTGGATGACCAGCCATTCTGTCTGATGAGAAACACTGATTTCCTCAGGTTTGTGGTAGAACTGGTGCCCCATTACCAATTGCCATCCTGAATTACTCTTAGCCTCAAGGTTGTACCAGATTTATGTTGAGATATCAGACAACTGGTACAGCAGCAGTTGGCCAGCAGTCAGTACATTTGACTAGTAACATCTGGAGCAGCCAGGGTACAAACAAGCCTATCGAGAGAATACTAGTGGGAGGTGGAAGCATCAGGAATAGGGCAATAAACCAGGGCTTGATACAAATGTACCCTGTTCAATGTGGCTGCAGCCACACAGCTCATAACATTCAAGAGGCTCTGAGGGACATGCTACAGCAGTGAAATCTAGCTACAGAAAGACATGGTATGTTTACCACAGACAATGGGCAAATATGATGGCAGCATTGCAGGTTGGGAAAATGAAAGGGGTCTGGTGTGTGGCCTACACTCTCAACCCAGCACTTCAGGGTGCTTTGCGGGGTAAGGAAGACACAGGTATACCTACTGTAACTGAATAGGCCAGATTGACTTTTTCACCATAGTGTCTAGGGCAGTGAGCTGTTGCAATAGAGATAAGAAAAACTAGGATTGCCACTGTACCACCAAAACCAGGATGTGGCAACTCAATGGAGTTCCACTTTCTACCTGCTTTACTGTAAAGAGTGCTGGGGGCACTCCCTGATTTGATCCTGGAGGCTTCCATTTGTGTGGTTGCGCCTCTGGACAGAAGAGAGTGGGACATTATGAGTCAAGTGGTCTATGTCCTCCAAAGCTTTGAGAGTGTATCACAGGTCCCTAGCAGGAAGAGAGGCAGACAGGGGGTCCCACTGTTCCAGAGTTTGGTTGGTATGATGGAGGGCACAATGAGGGGGACAGTCTAGGTGGGTGGGGAATTCCATATAGGGAGGACTATATTTTTTTCCCCAGTCTGAGGTGCTGGCTCTGGTCAGCAAGCTAAAGGACCTGCTCCACTTCTTTGTGGAAGAAGAAGGAATACATTCTAGAAGCCTTCTAGGGCCCCCAAATAGAACTGCAAGAATGGAGGAAGCAAGAGGGAGGGCAATTCCCCAAACATCAGTTGTATTCTAGAGACCTGCAAGCCAAAAGTGAACAATCCCTTGTCTTAATGAGCTGAGAAGGAGTCTGTTTAGGGAAGTCTGGCCAAGGTGGCCGAGGGACTGCTATCCTGCCCACCAGCTAGTGTGCCCAGTGAGAGAGTGTTCTCTCAGGTAAGTGACATTGCCAGTCCACACCACTAACTTCTGGAACCTGGATCTATAGAAAAATAGGTTAACCTACCATTACTGGGCTTCCCTGAATTCCCCTTTAAGTAAGAGAGAATGTCACACTCTGCTCACAGCATTAGGTATGCCATGCTCCAGCCCACGGCACCCTCCTTCTGCCTCTTTCATTCTTCCAACTTCTCCTCCAAGACTGTGCTCACTCACTCAGTGGTGATGTGCCCCCTACTATTAGCACAGTTCTCTCCCACCACAGGCTATCTGCTACTCCAATCTGTCTGCCAGTGCTGACCCAGGTATTTGCCCTCTCCCCAGTGTGACCTGTCCTTGCTTCCCCAATGCTGCTGGCACTCCCACTGTTGAGGGTATCAGCATGCCCATTACAGTCATTTCCTAATACCTAGGCACTGATGGCTGTTGGTGTGTAGTCCCTTTAGTTTGGCATCATCACTGAGAAGGTTCAGAGGACACAGGGAAATCCTTTTAAAATCTCTTGCCTGTTTGTGTTTTTTAAAAGGGGGGAAATAACAACTATATATTATTCATATTGACTGTTACAGAATTCTAGATATCTGGAAATTCTGAATTTTTAGAATTCTGAATATGAAGGACTATAATTTCAAATATAAATTTTGGTGCCAAGGCACATCTCTCATCCAAATGGTTAGTGGCAACCATGTGACTAGCATATGACCAGCTATCCAATTTCCAAAAGATGTCCAAGTTCACTGTACAGTGTCGTCCTTTATGGCCTGGCTGCCTGGGGTCAACCTTGATGTCATTTGCAGAGTCACTACCTGGTTGCAACCCTGATGTTTGTCATGCACTATAGCTCAGCAGAAAGTCTTGTTTGAATCACTGGTTCTGGTAGCATTTCTCCATTGAAACCTTCCTCCTGATACAGGAGCTTGCTAAAAAATCAGATGTGTGATGCACAGAGACTGCAATGAAGAAAAACAAGTTGCTTACCTGTACCCATGAATCTGTGAGTGGTCATCTATGCATTCACACATTCCCACCCTCCTCCTCCTCCCTCTACGTTCATTGGAAACTATTTGTTATCCAGCTATTATCATATCAGACTTTCAGAACTGGAGACTGACAGGAGCCCTGGTGGTTGGCTGGGGTTTTTGCTTTAGCTTTTGCTCTTGGAATTTCCAGGGTCATTACACATGCACAAGACAAAACTCAGATGTGTGAATGCACAGATGGCCATTTGAAGAACCACTGTTATGGATAAGCGACTTGTTATTTTGATTTATTAAAAGCCAATATTGCAAATACGTATCTCTTTGTCAGTTTTTTTCTTTTTCTTTTATTCTCTTCCCCATCCATTTGGAAGTATAGTACCGTCCCCCACCTTTAAAGTTGTAATGCTTACTTATTAACTGTATTTTCTACAATGATAGCCTCAGCAATAATTTAAAGGCCTTTTCTCAAAACTACTTCTTGACACCTCTGTTGACTCTCAAGTGTTGTAATTTCATAGTTTATGGTGAATCATCTTCATGTAGCCACTGGCCTGTTCCGACTTGGCTTTTTACCATGCTCCTCTGCAAGCCACCTAGATTGGTGTTAGGGATGAATTGCCAAAATCTGAATGCAATGTTGAGAATGGCTGCTTTGGTTTCCAACCTTGGGTAACCCAGGTGTTCCTAGGCTGCAAACCCCAGAAACCCTGACCAGCACAGCTGGTGGTGAAGGCTTCTGGAAATTGCAGTCCAAGAACACCTGGGTTATCCAAGGTTGGGAATCACTGCTTTAGACTCATCGTGCCCCATGCATAGAGGGAAGTGGAAGGGGCAACAGAATGGGTAAGGCAAGAAGGCTCTCCTTGTCTGTTGATTAAATGTGCATACTAAATGATTGAATAGCTGAGAGTCCAGGTCATTCTCAGCAAGCACTGAGAATTCCCAAAATCTGCTCTTATCTGAAGCGGTTTTGAAAATAAGACCCCATGCCTCTCACTTCTCCTTTCAAAGCAAACTGTTTGCTGAAGTATTAGAAAAGTGTTTTAGTCTAAATTGAAAGTAGATAGGCCACCTGATCCAGATAACTATATTTTGGGATGGATTTGGCTTCTATATTGAGGAAGAAAATTGTTATTAATAATGTTGAATCTTAAAGAGGTATATGAGATAGTAACACTAAGGAATCATTTGAGATATTTTAGTCAAAATCTAACTAAAATAGTGCACACAAAAGGGCAATGGCACAAGTGTTTTTCATGCTTGCCAATCATCTGCCAATCATTCCCAGGCATGCACAATACAGGCATGTCCAAGCCTGCAACAGACAACTGCAAAATTGCACATACTGCTCATTTGATTTTAGGTTAACACCACTGAGTACTGTGACGTTCACCCCTTGCCCCGGTTTCTTTCTCTCAACCCATAGGGCTCATGCTGGTGACGTTCCCTCTTTCTTTCACTGCCACCGGTGGGTTTCTTCATCCACACTGTAAAGGACTTTAGTCTGACACTGGCTGCCAACAACAGAACTTGTTTATTAAAGGGTATTTTAGGGTAATACAGAATCACAGATGGTCTTTATTCATTTCATAGAATCAAAATCATTGAAGTATCATATATTCTGCCACACATTCAATCACCTCATGTTTTATTTATTCACTTTAACCAGTTTATCTTTGTTAGTTACAGTTCTCACTCTTTCTCTGACTATATATCTCTCTCTGCAAACCTCTCTCCTCCTCTCTGATCCACTCTCTCTCTCTCTAATTGACTCAACTGACTTTCTGCCTCCGCCCCTCCTGTCCTCTCATAGGCTATGCAAATGAGTTCCAGCTATGAGTGACAGGTGTGACGTGGGACATCCATCACAAATACCAACAGACTTCTGACCATTATTTGTGCACCGCCACAGAATGCATGAGCTTTGTCACTGTTGAACTCCCCTAGCTTCTACACAACCACAGAAAAAGTATAGGAGATAGAGGGAGAAAGGACAGTTAATTGGAAATTTTCTAAACCAGGTACAGTGGTGCCTCGCACAACGGGTGCCTCACACAAC